GACATGAGTACAGCCTACCATCCACAGACCGACGGACAAAGTGAGAGAACTATCCAAACCTTGGAAGATATGCTGAGAGTCTGTGTGATCGACTTTGGGAAGGGATGGGATACTCATTTACCCCTTGTCGAGTTTTCCTACAACAACAGTTATCACACGAGCATAAAGGCTGCTCCATTTGAAGCCCTCTATGGCCGAAAGTGCAGATCCTCTCTGTGTTGGGCTGAAGTGGGTGACACCCAATTAGCTAAAGGACAAGTTCCTGACAGCACTCTCACGGGTCCGGAAATCATACGGGAAACGACAGAGAAGATCGTTCAGATCCGTGAACGATTGAAAGCCTCTAGAGACCGTCAGAAAAGCTACGCAGACAAACGAAGGAAACCTTTGGAATTCCAGGTGGGAGACCGAGTCCTTCTGAAAGTCTCACCCTAGAAGGGCTTGATACGCTTCGGAAAGCGTGGCAAGCTAAATCCAAGAGACGTAGGGCCTTTCGAGATTCTTGCTAGAATCGGCCCAGTAGCTTACAAACTCAATCTACCGCGTGAACTCAGTAACGTACATCCTACTTTCCACGTCTCGAACTTGAAAAAGTGTCTGTCCGACGAGACTCTTGTAATCCCACTCGACGAGATCGAGATCAACGAGAGCCTCAACTTTGTGGAAGAACCTGTAGAAATCATGGACCGAGAGGTCAAGCAAACGAAGCAAAGCCGTATCCCGAATGTGAAGGTTCGCTGGAACGCCAAGCGAGGACCTGAATTCACATGGGAGCGCGAGGATCAATTGAAATTGAAATATCCTCATCTCTTTACTTAGTTAATTGTAACTACTAATTTGCTTAAACTCTAATTTCGGGACGAAATTCCCTTTAACAGGGGGATGATGTGACAACCCGAAATTTTCATTCGTACAAACTCTAAAGTCAAGCACTTCAATTAAAAGTCAATTACATTTCTGATAATTGTTAGCCAATTTGGAGTCCGTTTGAGTGTTTTTAGTATTTATTCTTCAAACGAGCGAATGAAAGGAAGTACTGTCTCGGGTCTTGGAGTAGCAAACCCACACTTAGCACCCTAATAAAGAGTTCACGGCCAAACTTTTGCGGTTTGGGCCGTAAACTCTTGTGTGGCCGTGAACTCATGCCTTAGGCATGAGTTTACTCCCCAATTGGTTCATTTCCCACTTTCACCCTCAAGAACACTTACCTTTCTCTCTCAAGTAGCATCCCGTTCTTCACCCGATCTTCCGAAAACGTAAGTTTCACTTGACTTGATTTATTGTTATAACCTATCACCTAGTGTTTATACATCATTTCATCCATTCATTATTGATTTTCATGTAGATCTTCAAAACACCAAGAACACACACTAGTGTTCTCGTTCCTTAAACACCCAATCAAGCTTCTATCTTGTAAGTACACTTGCCCTAGCTTCTTATGTGCTTAATATGAACTTGTTAACACTTGAAAATCACCAAGAAACATAGGATCAAAGGAGTTTACAGCCAAGGGAGGTTCTTGGGCCGTAAACCCTTCTAAATGGGGTCAAATGAACCCTAGTCCCTTCCTAAGCCTAGAATACTAGTCTAGATCCTTCCTAGAAGTGTTTAAGACCTTAAACAACAATCAAAACAAGTCCCCATAAGAGTTTACGGCCGTAAACCCCTATGGAAGTGGTCCTTAGGCCGTAAACTCTACAAGTTAGGGTTATTGTACCCCTAATGCTTTCCTAAGGCTTGGACTTGGTCATAGAAGGCTTACCCTGACTTATAAGACCTTAAATCACACAATGGCATTTAGTACCATGAGTTTACGGCCGTAAACTCATGGGGGAAGTGACCTAGGGCCGTAAACTCCATAAGGAGTGGTTCTTGGGCCATAAACTCCAATGCCATGCCATACAACCCTTAGATGCAACCCTTTAGTATCATTAACACTTGAATCAAAGTGTTTCCATGACCTACGGTGTTTTAACTTGGTTAATTAGTTGTTAAATGACTAATTAGATACATATATGTTTCATTATATGTTAACTAGGATCAGTGTGTGTGTTCAAGTCCTCACTTGACACTTAGCATCCGTTACCGATCCTACTATCGCATCACTCACTTCAGGTGAGTTCATACCCCTGAAACTTATCTTTTAAATGATTTTAAATGCTTTTATAGGGGGGGATACAAGTAGATAACATGCTAGTTATAAGATCAATCACATGTGATTTATAACTGTGTTTCAAACCAGGATTTCATATACTTCAAACTGTGTTTCAAAACGATCTACTTTTAAATCGTTTTATAAAATGACATCAAGTCATTATTTATTTATTGTTCAAAACTCTTTAAATGTTTTACAAAACCTCTTTTCAACTTATATGTACTGTCAAAATCATGTCTATATATGTATAGTTATATAAGTAATGTTTAAAGGACTTAGGACGGCTAACTCGCTTTATTTCCTTTTCCTCGTTAGGATGTGGCCTTAGGGCATCGGTTATTCGTCCGAATGTCGTCTAAACATTAGTTATATATCCTGTATACATATATGGACATAAAAGTTCTATTCAATCAGTTCATTACCTTTGGGTAGCAAAGTTATACATTCATCTATTTATATACATAACTTACTAGTAAACTATAATAGGTATAGTTTAGGAAGATACTATCATATACAAATGCTATAACAGAGAATACTATAACAGAGAACACTAGACAGAGCATACTATAACAAGGATACTATTCAGAGAATACTATACATAGAATACTATTACTATAACAAGTATACTATAATAAGGTTCAGAGATAACATAATGTGAGATACTACTTCATGACACATCGACCATTTCGTTATGTCACGTTTTGTAACCAGAATCTCCTGGAGGGAGAGCGTGAGTTTGCGTATAGATCTATACTGGATTGACTATCCTACACCTTTGCTGTTCGCTACAGTGGGACTTGCAAGTCTACGGGTGCCAAATGTCATTTCTTCCGACGTCTTTCATCGTCGTGTTATAGTCAGATTAGCATGGTAACAATCATATCACATTTTGCCTTAATTAAACCATTGGTTTTAAGGTAGTTATAACTTCAGTAATTAATACAAATAATACTGTAGTACACATGTACATTTTTCCCATTATATTCAACTTGTGATCTTCTCACATAAAGGGGGAATATAAAACTATATTTTGGAAATGATAGTCATACTTGGGAAAAGCTTTCACTTTTACAAAGAGTCAAACATTCAAAACAGTCGAGTCTTGGTAGAAGACTACTTTTTATACTAGTAGAAAATATAGGATTTTCTAGGAGTTTTCAAACATATACAAACATTTACATTGTTCAGTTTCAAACATTTTCATTCAAACTTATGCAAACATTGACACTAAATACTTATGAACTCACCAGCTTTAATGCTGATCTACGCTTTCAAAATAACTTGTATTCTCAGGTCACCAGTAGACAGGTACCGATGACCAGGTTTTGAGAAGACGGAGCATCTTCAAGACTCGTCTTTTATTTTGATTATTCTTTTGGTGTCTTACTTCTATTAAAGAACACACTTGTATGAAATTTATACTATTAATGCAATGGATGATGTTGTTGCTTATTTACTACTTTGCATTGTTATGATACTGTACATGACATCCTCCGCCCCAGAACGTTTCCGCCGTTCTCGGTTTTGGGGTGTGACATATTTCGAGTACAAACATACATTTTACACCATTTCAAGATAACAAGGCAAACAAACAGTTGGGTCTTGGGTATAAGACTACTTTTCATTTTAAGTAGAAAATATAGGATTTTCTGGGAAGTATACTAACATTTTTATGAAACAAATACAAACATTAGACACTAAATACTTATGAACTCACCAACTTAAATGTTGATATTCTCTTTCAAAATAACTTGTATTCTCAGGGAACCAGTAGACAGGTACACGAGCACATGTTTTTTAGAAGACAGAGCATGTTCAAGACTCGTCTTTTATTTTTGCTATACATTTTTGGTGTCATACAACTATACAAAGAACACACATGTATTAACTATACTATTAATGCAATGGTTGTTGTTGCTTGTTTTACTATTGTGCATTGTTATGATACTGTACGTGATGTCCTCCGCCCCCGCCATCTCGGTTTGAGGGTGTGACAGAAGACATGTTCCATTTCGGCAATCCACTTCATCACGACCTTTGGGTCTTTGTCACCTTTGAATTCTGTAGGACGACACGTCATAAAGTCTTTGATTCCACATTCACGCGCTCCTTTTGGTCCAACTAATGGTGCTTTTAGAGCAATAACTAGAGGTTGGGTGGTGGAGGAGGTCCATGAGTGGATGACTCAGATTGGGCAACACCCTCGGGGGTGTCACCTTGATCCCGAGAGTCCGATAAAGTTCTCGATAAATCCCTCATTCGTTCGTCAATCAATTGCCTCATTTCAATTCGGCTTTGTTCTCTGTGGTCATGTAGAAGCTTCTGGATTGCCTCAAGAGTGACCGGAGGGGAATGGAGCTCACCATCATTGTTGCCTTGGTTGACCACTCTAGGTGGCCTATTCACAAGAGGCCCTTGATTTGGAGCTTGTCCTCGTCCTTCTTCACGGGATGTTTGACTCGTTGTTCGCGTCATCACGCTACAATACTTCAACACTTTAGTATACATCATTATCCACATATCTATATTAGTAGATTTCAACCATTAGCATAGCATTTCCTAAGACATGCAACTTCTAACAACATTCATAGCAAAGGTCTATCCCATATTTCACAAACCCACTTCATAGTTCCACCGATTTTGAGTATGTATCATGTGTTTGCCTTGGACTACTTAAGATTTCATTCTTTTATATGATATTTCCTTAATGTCAATATCATTTCTTTTTGGGGTTCACATTTTTATAATCATAAAATAACATAAATCTGCAATTTTTTCCCGATTATTTCTTGACTGGGGTTATTCTATGCTTGATTCAGGAACCAGTCACAAATTACAAAAAACACTCTTACACAAATTACAAAAATCATTTATACACACAATCAAAATGTCATCTCATCTGTTTGAAGAACAATATACTAAGAAAATATGCACTCTACTAATCATATTATATATGCAGCATCAAGGGGAACAAAATATTATAATTTGTATTATTGACATGAGTTCGTCAAAACGGCATGATTTTCTTAAGGGTTTCTAATGGATCTTCGTGCACCAAATCAATCTCAACATTACTATACTCCTGCCATTTGTAAGATATCTCTTCATTACATACCACACGTACATGAGACAGGTCCTCGACAGAATCTGGCAGCTCATGTACTCCTGTACAACCCTTCATATAAATCGTCCTTAAACCTCTCAATTTCCCCGTTTTTTCCGGCAACCCACTCAAGCTCAAACAATCCGAAATGTCAAGAACACTCAAATTCTCAAGTTTACACATCGATTCCGGCAACTTATCCAATTTCGTACAAGAACGAAGATTAAGTGTTTCCAAATTAATCAAACCCCCAATTTCTCCATTAAATCCGCACATCTCGTTACAATTCGTGATGCTTATCTTCTTGAGATAGACGCTGCTACATAATGTCTCAGGGAATTCGACCAAGTCTTGGGAGTAGTCGATCTCGATTTCAACTAATTGTGGCCAGATATTTTGGTGCCTGGTACTAAGTTTCTTGAAACCGTTGCCAATTTTGCACATTATGAAGGACACTTTTTGCAGGTTTATTAGTGATAAAATTGAGGGACTTATGTCGACACGTTCGAGTCTGATTCTTGTTAGGTTGTGGGAAGAGGTAAGAAAATTGAAATTGGTGAATTCTGTAGGGTATAAGCCGTGGTTTGTGATGTTTAGAATCTTTAATTTTGGATTTCCAGCTAAGAAATTGGGTAAAGTGTAGGTTTTTGACATTAAGTTCAAGATTAGAACTTCAAGGTAGGGTACTCCCATGTCGCACCATTTTGAGGAGAAGGATTCTCCTGCAATAAAAGATTGTAATTGATTAATAAATGAAAACGTAATGTGAGAATAAACTCATTAGAACCCTTTTGTCCCATACCTAAAAAGACTTTCCAAAGGGCCAATGGCCTAGCGGTATGGAGTGACCATCTCATATGAGAGGTCAAGGGTTTAAGTCTCGGTTGAGACATAGGTGGTTATTTAAGAGTAGATTAGTTAGTTTGCCGTTTCAAAAAAAACCTAAAAAGACTTTCACTTGTCGTATTATTTTAAGAAATAGCAACATCTTTTATTAATTTGTTTAGTTCATCTTTCTTTCAAAACTTCTTATTACATGTACATTGAAATATATACCAATTATAGTAATGTAATATGAATAACTTTAACTGCTATAATTGATAGATTTCTTTAAAGTATAATGTGTAATAAGAAAAATAATAAATTGGAATTGCAAGGCTATAATTAGGTAGATTTTCAATAAAAAAAAGGCTTGAAAAGGAAAAAGTTAAAAATATAATGTGGAAATACGTTGCTATTTATTGCATTTCAGCCCTTTTGGGAACAGATACAAAACCAACATATATTTTTATGTATGTACCTAGTTTCATTTTCATTTATTCCTATTACGGTATTGTACTTTGAATAATTTTCAAAAATAGTAATGTCATCAAAATACAAAGCAATCTTAGCTGCTATAATTGGGTGGGTTTTCAAAATATAATATTCTAACAAGAAAAAAAAAATCAAAATTAAAATAGTGTACTTGGGTAAAATTTCAAAGTACAATGATTTAAAAATTTGGAAATACAAATGATGTAACATAAAGAAATAAAAGTAGGATGCTAGAATAAACAAACAAATGAAAAGTACGTTGCTACTTCTTGAATTTAGACCCTTTTGGGAACAAGTATAAAACCAACATATTTTCTGTCTTTCGTATTCAATATAAGGTATTAGTTTATATTTATTTGACAAGTGAGAAAAAAAGAACAAACTGGCAACAAACATAAAAGCAACATAAGTGGGGTTGCATAGTTTCCATTTAAATTTATGAAAGAATAAAAACCTGTGGAAATAGACAATATGCGGGCTTGCATAGGTTCTTGAACTTGTTCGATTGATGAAGGAAAGTCATCTCCTCGTGCATTTATAATCAATCTTTTCCTTTTTTCTAACGACAGTTTGCTATTTAAGTGAATAGCAAGCTCCCTCAGCAAATCATGTTGTGTCACAAATTGCTGGTCACAATGGTTAACTCTTTCACCCAAATCATTTTTAAACCTAAACAATTTAGACATTAAATTAAATTGATGTCTTGATATATGTTTTTTTTTAAACTTAAAGAAGAAAGAAGAACTTAATGGAGAAACCAAAGTGAAGAAAATTTTTCTTAAATACTTTCTAAATATCATCTATCAAAACAACACTTAAATGGTAAAAAAGAGTGAGCATAAGTGAAATACCCTGAGATCATTAGATCGACAAGATTTCTATAGGAAAGTTCAAAGATCTTAGCAAGGGTATCAACGCCACCATCATCATGTTTGTACAAATGCACCCACATATTTAAGAGGGCGCTAACCGGGATCCTTTGATCCTCAGGGAATAGCCCCAAATCCAAGAAACATTCTTTAAATTCATCATCCAAGGCCTCAAAGCTTCTTTCTAGGCCGATGAGTACATCCTTGTGTAAATCTAGAACCAACCTTCCATGAGACAAAGATTTTAGCATGGATTCCCATACTGACTTATCCTTCCCGTTTAAAGATCTACCAACCACAGAAAGAGTAAGCGGATGTCTTTTGCAACATGTTACCATCTACATACAAAAATTACTTACTTCTTTAGGAAGATAAAATATATTAATCATAACGAATGAAATTGACGATATTTTTTTGTTTACCAATGATAGCAACATTTAATTTAATAACTAATAAACCAACTACATAACACATATAGATTGAAAAATGTAAGATGTTGCTATTATTAGTAAAAATAATAAAGTAAGTAACATTGCTATTATTAGTAAAAATAAAGTAGCATTGCTATTATTTGTAAAAGTTATTGGTAAAGTAAGTTGTTATTCCGTACAATATGTTCTAAAAAAAGTAAAGTAGAAAAAAGAAGTCCTATATTCATTTTAGGAATAGAGCATATAGTTACCTGATTCACAAGATTTTCACTAATAACTGGACTAGGCCTCTTCCCTCCTTTAGTAAATGCAGATTGGCGAAAGAGAGTTTTAGCATCTTTCTCGTTCAAAGGGTCAAATTTGAAGACATCATAGTTTGTAAATGCAGTCCTAGACGTGACAAGAATCTTGCATTCTCTGTTCCTTGATGGAAAGTTGTCAATGAACGTATCAGACCATACATCATCTAATACCAGAAGCATGGGACCAACTACTTTCTCATTCAAAAAGTTCTCAAGCTTGTTCTTTGCATCTTCATTACTTTGAAACGAAACTTGGGGACCCGAGAAATTTGGATTAAAGAGATCATTGACGATTACCATGAAATTGGGTGTTTCTGAAACTGTCACAAAGAAGATGTTCTCCCCGTATTTTTCTGTTCAAATGTAAGAAACGATAGCGATAGCATCAGGCCAGTTAAACTAATTACTCCTGTTTCCATATAAAAAACCCTAAAATTTGATTCATGAATGTGATTGATTAGGATTTAGGATTACCTCGAATTTCAGTGTCATTGCATAGCATTTTCACCAAAGTCGTCTTTCCACATCCGCCAGCAGCAGCAACAACCAACACCGATCGATCATCACAATCCATTGGATCACCATAATCGTCACTACCGATACCTGCAACAACCTCCGCCTTCAGCTTCGCTAATGGTTCATCAAACGCTACAATTCCCTTCGGAAGTGCTGGAGCTCGCCAACCATACTTTTCTCGTTCCATGTTTTCACTTCCAGATCTGTCTGTTCTCGTAGACGTCGACATTGAACCACTGTAATTACCGTTCCAGCTTTTACTCAGTTGAATATCTTTCACATCCGAAGCTATACTATCCATTTTTATTTTGATATCGTGCACCCCTGAAAGCGTCTCCACAATGCCCCGAGTCTGGAATACTTGCACTTCGATTTGAAAGAATCGTAACAATTTACCGTTGAAGTCTTTTAGCTTCAGTGAGTACTTGAACTTCTTGAAGATATTTCTCTTCACTTTCGCACATTTATTGACGAGTTTTTCCGCTTCTTCGAGTTCCTCTTTGAACATCTTCCGCTCTTCCTCTGTGCGATCTAGTTTCCGATTCATATTGACTACATCCTCAATAATCGGTGTTATTCTCTGTAAGGTGAGAGTAAGTTGTTTCAGTTCTGGCTTGAAATTGGCTGTGGTTTTTACTACATATATTACCAGATTAGTAAGTTTGGCGATGGATTCGGAAATAAGGGGATCTACGAGAAAAGCCATGTTTGTGTGTGGCTTAAACTGAAATCAGCATAAAAGTGAGCAGGGAGATGAGATGGATGGATTTGATGATTGGAAGATGTTGGAAAGAAAACAGAGCTTCACAATTGCACCTCCTGGTCAACGCCTTCCCTCAAATCTTAATGAACAAATAATATTACAAAAAGAAAAAGAGAAATGAAATAATGGCAGCCGCCGTTACCAAAATTTTAGTGGGAAGTGCTACTGTCCTAGTGGACGAACGCGGACCATCCGCGTAAATAATTTTGGAATTTGCACGTTTTTATATCTCTACTCTCAATCAATTAGAAAATTTTAAATTTTCATATAAATTGTTTGTATCTCTATAAAACTTTTTAGTTTTTAACAGGTTATATGTTTTAGTAAAATGTATATAGTCCGCCGTAAATTTATTAATAATTATGAACGAAAACTGTAAAAATAGAGAGGGGAGAGTGGAGAGTGAAAACTGAAAACCCCAAGTCCCTAACCATATAAAAAACAAAACACTCCTAAACTACCAAACACATATCTAGATTCTAGAATCACCCAAACTTCTACGGGCTTAAAAGTTTCTAAAAAAACATTATCCAGTTTACCACTTAACCCAACGCTTATGGTAGCGGCCCATTCCCACCAATCAACTAGTCAGGCCCAGAAACTTAAAGTCCATCAACCAGCCCACTATAACTTGGCCTACAGTTAAAGGGCCTAATCCGCTACCCAGTACCCACCAAAGGTAGCCCACTCCCATAACAAGCACCAACTGCATTGATGAGCATCATCATACCTTCAACTGTATTAAATTGTCTTTTTCTTTGTCTTTAATAACTTGAATGAGCACAATATTTAATCCGAGCAACTATATTTAGCTGTTTTCTTTTAGCTTAGTTGATTAAGAAGGCTTAACGGGTTAAAGCCAAAATGTGTGATTTAATCCCTATAAGATAAAACTCTTTATATTTTGCCCTTCAACCAATTTTTCAAGAGACCTTGGCCATATAGTTTCATCGGCCCATGACCCCACAAATCCCAACTGACAACTTCTCAAAATTATTAATGATTGGATATGGTAACATGAAAACCGAAAACTAATAGATATGTAAAGATGCTAATACAAACATAATGAGTTTGATGTTGTCCTGCAAACAAAAGTAATTTGTTTTCCATGTCAATGTGTCGATAAATATGTTTATTTCTTAATATAATTCAATCATAAACTTGAAAATATACAAAGTAAACTACCTAATTTGGTATGTTTGGTTGTAGGTTGAAGTAATCAGAGAATGTTGCTATTGGAGTCATATTTGTTAATTTATAGTCTTTATTTTATATTGTGTTTAGTATAGGGGCCTTTATGTAACTATATTGTGTGCGTGTGTGTATATATATATATATATATATATATATATATATATATATATATATATATATATATATATATATATATATATATATATAGAGAGAGAGAGAGAGAGAGAGCTAGGTTCAAATGTTTCTAGCAATTATTGTGTACATGTATGCACCAATGAGAATTCAGGAAATAATAAATCATTAAATAAATTAAAAAAGTGTATAATGGTAAACTTAATATATCTAATTATGGTAAAAAAAAAATCATTTAATGCCTCCTTTAAATAATGGAAATCAGTTTAAAACCCTAGATATCACCCTCTTTTTCGTCTGCATCGAACATCGCCTCTTCCTCCAATGAACATTGTTCCCTCCATCGGCTCTCCATCGTTACCTATTTCAGCAAAGAAAAATGAGACGGCTGCTCAGGCAATATTTGTTTCCTCGTCTACATATATTGATGATCAGAATGATATCAGTAGCGAAAGGTCTCATGGTATGATTGATTTCAGATTGAGGATGATGGCTAGGTTTCAGTTTAAGGCTGGTGCTTCGTGGTCTAAACGTCGGATTCTGAAGATTTATGCCCTAATTTGTTGATTGGGGTTGCGTCTTCTCATTGTCGATAGCAAAAAAACCGGGGAAAAACAACAGCAGCAGATGGCGGTGAAGAGGTGCTCAGTGCCTGTTGTGGAGTCTGCAAAAGGAGGTGAAAACGAAGGCAGCAGGGGATTTTAGGTCGTCAACGCCACCACTGATAGAACCCTAAATCTGTTGTGATATGATTCTACCTTATGTGGTTTTCTCATTGCCTGCCTCTTCCCAACGTTATAGATTAAGTTGGAGGGAGAACGAAGAGGATAGGGCTTTTTCAGATAGATGACAAGAGGGCTAATCCTTCTACAGCTCCATGTCGTCAAAGACTTATATTATTACAATGGTAACAAGCTACCTTTTGCTGCTGCTCAAATTGTTCACTCTTTCAGAAATGAGGTATTTTTTTTAGGTTAAGGTCTACTCGAATTGGATTTTCTTTTTGGTTCCCTGATTATCGGTTTTTACTTTTTAGTTGCATTTGTTGTTCAAGCATGATTTGATTTGTATTCACAAGATGTCAAAATGGTGTTCTTAGTGAAGACACGTGTTTTATTCTTTAAGAATATTCTACAACAATTTTATAATTTTATTATAATAATCTGTACAGAGTGTTATATTTTAACAGAATCATATAAGAATCATCTTGTCAGGGTTCTTTTGGAATTATATTTTAGATAATAATTTAACATGTTTGATTGTATTGAGCTTTTTGGATGCATTCTTTGTAATATATTGTTTACGTTTTTATTAAATATGTTAGTTGACCACTCTCTTAGAATATACATAAAGTCAATCTCAAAAAGTATATTGATCTCGAAAATTTGTCAATTCTATTTGAATTATTCTTTTAGATTAAGCTATATGTATTGTTTTTTATATTTATAAAATTTTGAAAGAATTAAAGGTTGAGTAGTAGTATTCTAGTTACATAGTTTTTTATGGGTTTAGGTTTTGAAGAAGATGTCATGTTCTCTTCTTGGCTATACTTCATTCTTTTTATCTTTTGGTTATCTTTTTAGATGAAAGATCAAGTTTTTTTTTGTTGATAAACTATGAATGGTCCTCCAACATTTGCATAATACAAATTCTTTAAGAATATTCAAAACCATTCTGCAAGAATAGTTTATTCTGTAAGAATATTATTGTTGTATTCTGATAGAATTGTAGTTAATTATTTATATGTTTAATGTGCAGTTGTTACAAGTGTATCACTAAAAAATATTTTGCAATGCATTTGTGATAGAAATGGCTTGAAGACCTGATGGGAAAGGCTTGAAGAATGAATTAAAGAATGATCTCACTCACTGTTTAAGAATGTTGTTATTTTTTAAGAATTACACTTGTTATTCTTTCAGAATGTTGTTATGATTCAATGAATCACAATCATACAATGTAATTATTTGGTATATTATTAGTTCAAGAATCGATTTTGTGTATTCTAACAGAATAAAATCGAAAATATATTTACTAATTTATGATTGGCATTCTGCCATTCTGAAAGAATAAAATCGAAAAATATATTTACTAGTTTATGGTTGGCATTCTATCATTCTGACAGAATAAAATCGGATTTTTAAATTTGAATTAATTTAAAATATTCAGATTTTAAAAAATAAATGAATTAATTATCCCTAAAAATCCGAAAATTTCCTTTTTTAATATAGTTTAATTGACTAAAATGTCCTTATGCTGAAATTTGTGTGATTATATGGTACATGTTATCCTATTCTAATATCATAGACCCTCAGATCATGACCTTTGATTCTATTCCATCCGATGGTCCAGATCTGTGCATTCTGGCACACAATAGTTAGTAAAAACAAAATAACCTAAGCATATATATATATATATATATATATATATATATATATATATATATATATATATATATATATGTATATAGTACCTTAATCAAGAGGGCTTTTACCACGTTCAAACATGGTATCAAGCTAGGGTTTCTAAACCCCTGCTTCACGTGCGGTACTTCTCACAAGTCAGGAATTTTTTTTTCTGCCACGATCTTGTTCTTCACTGCTCACAGTCGGCTCTTTCATCATGGATTGCTCTCTTCTTTTCGTCTAGGTGCTCGATATCTACCTCTGCTTCTATAAGACTGATACTCACGCACAACCCCTGCCTTACTCCTCTTTCTGCTGCATGCCCTTAGTATTATCGTGACTGCTCCCATCTCCGGTCATTATATCCACTGTACCAGCTTCTTCATTGACCACTGCTCCATCCAAACTGAACTTGGTATGTTCACTTACAAATGTTTACAACCAATTCAGTTTCAAATTGAATGTTGATGGTTCTCGATACAATTTGTGGAGGCAAATATTTTCTAACATGTGTCATGGAACAATGACTTATGGCCATTTATCGGGCAAGTCAAAACCCACCAGTAATGATGACGAGGAATGGTTCTCGATTGATGCACACTTAAAGTCCTAATTCTACAGTACCTGTGATCCTAGTCTTCCCCAGATTATTTCCAGTGATGATTGTTCTACCAAAGATCTTTGGGATAGGCTTCAAGAATTTTTTTGGCAACAATAAGATGTCCCGAATGTTACATATTCAAGATCAGTTTCGTAATACAAAGAAAGGCTCCCGCTCCATCACCGGATTTTGCCAAGGAAATTCTCTCTCATGTTGACATGGCCACATGTAATCCATGTGCAACTCCTTCCGACACCAAGTCTAAACTGTCCCTGAGGGTGATCATGTTTCTGGCCCCACCCTCTATCAGAGTCTTGTTGGCTCTCCAGTATCTCACATTCACTTGTCCTGACATGGATTATGCGGTTCAACAAATCTGTTTGTGCATGAATGATCCTCGTGAACCGCATCTTCTGGCTCTCAAACGTAATCTTCGGTATATTCAAGGTACGTTGTCTCACGGTCTCCTTATTCGACCTTCCTCTATTGATCACTTGGTTTCTTACTCTGATGCTGACTGGGCTGGCTGTCCTCACGCTCGTCGCTCTACTTCTGGTTTTTGTGTTTAGCTTGGTGATAACCTAATCTCTTGGTCTTCCAAACATCAACATGTT